TGACAAATGATTAATTACAAAGCACTTCTGTTTAGCAGATTGAGTGTTTTACGTTAATTCTGTCCACTCAAATTAGACTATTGTGGGAATAGGTTGTTTAAATAAAATCTTAATCATACAAAATTCAACTAATGGTCGCTGCTTTTTCAAACTCCTTCTCTCAATTACCTGGTTTCATTACATTCCCTGGAGCGAAAGCATTATATGTGGAAAGCTAGTAAAGCAAGGGCAAAGCTAGTTTTAATTTTATTAAACCAAAAAAATGAAAGTTTGGCCTATTTTATGGGTGTGTACATCCAATTGGACAAAGGATTGAATGGATAATTTGTTGATACACAAACCTTTTCCTTTGTTGCCCAAGATTCATTCCTGTCTTTTGATTTACGCCATCACAAAAGGAAATTTAGTACTCTGAAGTAAAGCAGAGTAAGGCAAAGAAAAGCGGAAGTCACATTTAGTCATTGGCGCCTTATTCTGCACTGACCATAGGCGCAAAAACAAGCATTTAACTGACCTACCACAAAAATAGGCTTCTTTCATTGTGGACTTACTATTTAGGTGACTTAGCCCTTTGTCGGCTTTACCGAAAAAATTGTCTTGGTGGAAATGTTTAGAATTTGGCAGAAGATATGTCTTCGTAAGAAAGTGCAGTTTCTTTCCCAAGTGCACATTAAAGTCGGACGTAGCATAACGCTAAGCACACTTAACGGCCATTTAAAAGTCTTTTGCTTTGAGCTTAAATTTCTCTAACACAAACCCTTTTTAGTTAAATTACACAAGTAGATGTGGAGACTGAAAAAGGCAACACTCAAATGCATGAAGCCCCACTTTAAAGTGTTAAGACGGCCTTGCAACGGTTCCAAGCATATAGTTTGGTCTTAACTGAGCGATAAAATCTTTTTGGTCCATTTTATTGCCTGTCTGTTGAATTTGTTCTAACCATTAGTAGCATAAAAACAAAGCTACTTAATATTTCATTAAGCCTGCTTATAATTTGTCTCATCACCTTTTACTTGAACAAGCTAAATAGCTGAAATTTGAAATATGGCGGTTAATGAGGGAGGATTCGGTATTTTAGACTTAAGTTAGGGGAATTATTTAGTAAGTTGATTTTAAAATGTATTTTGCAAAGTCCTTGCAAATCTGTTCTAGCGTATTGAATAAGTTAAGTGTATGGAGGTGTGGGCAACACGTGAACACTTAAATTATTGCCAGAACTGCCCGCCCTTATCTAATCACCCATGAGAAGCAAACTAAACTGCTTCAAGAATGAACGTCCTTTGGTAAAACGGCAGCTCTTTTGCAAATCTTTCTTTCCAGTAACCAAAAAAGATTTTCCTATGTGAACACATTTTGCATTTTCTTTGAAGAATTTTCTTTGAAATATAGTGCGTCTAGCTTTTGAACAAGCATGAAAAATACATGAACTCCAAAGTAGCCGTGCATGTGCGTT